ACACCACTCACTGTTTGAGGGATGTGATCAGGCTTGTGGTAGGATACATTCATGTAGCAGATCACCACTCTACAAGATGTTTTTCTTTCTTTCTGTGTCCTCTGCAGGAGGTCAGCGCCTTCGAAGAGAACGGCGAGGGTATGACCTGGACGTGTGAGACAGTGCAGTTGTACGGCGTCCACTGGGAAGCGCGACGAAACCGTGCGCTTCAAACACGTGGGCACGGACGTCTTCCTGAGCGTGACGGGCAGAACAGTACGGCCACACCCATCCGCGGCCAGCGGGAGGTGCACGGCATGAGCTCCTCCAACCAGCACAACTGGTGGCGCGCCATGGAGGGCGTCTTCATTCAGCCCAGCCAGGAGCTGCTGCGCCATGATGAGCTCTGACATCATCACAGGGCTCGTTCCTGCCACATTTGAAGCTCTCAGGGTGTCCGGACGAAGGGAGATAATATATACACACACACATACACGTATATCTGTGTGTATGTGTGTGTGTGTTACAGATGTTAATAATAAACCGTTTAACCGTTAACCGACAAAAGAATTTGGACTGATTACTACTGTCAGTTAAACAATTTTTAAAAATGTTTGTGTGTGTGTGTGTGTGTGTATGAGAGATGATCCCGCTTCATCGGACACTAATCCTCTCGACTGGTGGGAAGCAGAATCAGATGTGTCTTCCTGAGGCTGGCGCTCTAGCAGGTGCTATCTGTGCATTCCTGGGGACATCGGTATCATCCGTCTCACAGTTAACAGACTGACAGCAGATGAACCCCACCAGCATGTCCACATGTTGCTATTTCTGAACAAAACACCAGTAGACAAGCTGTCCGCCATGCTGAGGACGGAGGTAGACCTGCCCTGTTTCTTTTATTTTGAGCTCTGAAGATGCAACTACCAGTTTTTTTTGTTTTTTTGGGGGGTGGGGTGGGGGGGGGGTTCTTACAGTGCTCTCAGCGCTCCTTAAACTGTTTATACATCAGAAAGTCTGGCTGTGATTTGCTATTTTAAGTTATGAAATATTTTCCTCCACTATTAGCCGGGTTCTGCACATGTAAAAAATGAACCCCTTCTTATGAAGAAAAAACATTTGTATTGGTATTTTTTTTAATGGGTCACAGACACTCGTCCATTCTAAATGATACATTTTGATCTTGTCGGGTTAACGGTTAATGGTTGTTTTAACGGGCATCGGCTATCGGTCAGAAAAAAAAATTCAAAATGAGGGCTCCCTAATGTGGTACTTGTATGATACATTGTAAGGCAGGTTTTGACTTTTAGACCTTTGGAGTGAGGACATTGGTTTGGTTGCTGTTTGAGGGTTTAGACTTGGTTTTAGGGTTCGGGTTAGAATCAGGTTTACAGTGTATGAAATCCTTTGAATTCATTTTTCCTCTCATCAATCTAACACTTCCAATATCCCATAATGCAAAGTGACGGAATTTTAGAAAATTTTGCAAATTTATTAAAAAGGAAAAAACTAAAATACATCTTCAGACCCTTCACTTCACATGACGTGACGCTTATAAACTGAGACCAGTTAGTTGAATCTTTCTTCTCACAGTCCTCAGGAGGCTTTCAGATCAGTGGAGCGCTGCAGTTCTGTGTCAATGTAATATTTCCATTTTTTTTTTCATTAAATTTGCAAATGTATTAATTTTATTGTCACATACTGTTATGGGTCTCAGCACAAACGGTGCAGAGCGTTGCTTTTCCCTGTTGAAATCATTGTTACACATGTCACACTGTCGAGCAGAATGTAACCTTAGACAGACAAGTCAGCAGTAAGAGATCTGAAAGCCATGCACCAGGTTTCACAGGACACACAATGAGAAAAACAGGAAGTCAGGCAGAGGTTGCCCCGGGCGGCTCACCGGGTTTCCAATCCGTCCCGTGGCCACTTGCTGCATGTCCCTCTCTCCTTCCCTGACTCTCCTGTCTCTGTCACCGCAGCTATCCGATACAAGGCAAAAAAAATGCCAAGAAAAAAAATCTTAAATAATAAACAATAAGTCATTTAAATATTTAATATAATTAATTTAATACACTGGGAATTTTATATTAGGTCTTAAAAATGTAAAGGAAAATAAAAAAAATAACAACAGCTGCTTTGTTTTGGAAAAGTGTTTTTTTGTGTTCTGACACAAGTGTAATGATAGATTTCGACATTGCCCCCGTCTCAGGTCGCAGGGATCGCTGGTGCTTTGATGAGCATGGAAATGATGTGTCATATGCTGTGACTTTCACAGCCACTCATCTCAAACACAGCTGAACACCTACGGAAGCGTCTTCATCATATCCATCATTCATTCCAACATTAATAATCAATAATGCGTAAACAAGTTATTTGATTTCTAATGATAAAAAATAAACTTTTCAGGATATCATGAACACCTCAGTTTCTGACAACAGTGGGACTTGAACCAGGAACCTTGGAATCAACTTGTCTCTTATGTAAATGTAGAATAGAATAAAACTTTCCCTAATGACAGACATACGAGTGACAAACTGAACAGCTTCACTGCTCCACGTCTCTGAACTCTACTGGAAGATCAACCATCCTTCATAAACATATTCTCTCATGTGGTGATGATGATGATGATGAAGATAAAGACGCTTCCGTAGGTGTTCAGCTGTGTTGAGATGAGGTGGCTGTGAAAGTCACAGCATATGACACATCATTTCCATGCTCATCAAAGCACCAGCGATCCCTGCGACCTGAGGACGGGGGCAATGTCGAAATCTATCATTACACTTGTGTCAGAACAAAAAAAACACTTTTCCAAAACAAAGCAGCTGTTGTATATTTTTTATTTTCCTTTACATTTTTAAGACCTAATATAAAAATTCCCAGTGTATTAAATTAATTATATTAAATATTTCAAATGACTTATTGTTTATTATTTAAGATTTTTTTTCTTGGCATTTTTTTTGCCTTGTATCGGATAGCTGCGGTGACAGAGACAGGAGAGTCAGGGAAGGAGAGAGGGGACATGCAGCAAGTGGCCACGGGACGGATTGGAACCCGGTGAGCCGCCGGGGCAACCTCTGCCTGACTTCCTGTTTTTCTCATTGTGTCCTGTGAAACCTGGTGCATGGCTTTCAGATCTCTTACTGCTGACTTGTCTGTCTAAGGTTACATTCTGCTCGACAGTGTGACATGTGTAACAATGATTTCAACAGGGAAAAGCAACGCTCTGCACCGTTTGTGCTGAGACCATAACAGTATGTGACAATAAAAATATCATACATTGCAAATTTATGAAAAAGAAAAAAATGGAAATATTACATTGACACAGAACTGCAGCGCTCCACTGATCTGAAAGCCTCCTGAGGACTGTGAGAAGAAAGATTCAACTAACTGGTCTCAGTTATAAGCGTCACGTCATGTGAAGTGAAGGGTCTGAAGATGTATTTTAGTTTTTCCTTTTTAATAAATTTGCAAAAATTTCTAAAATTCCGTCACTTTGTCATTATGGGATATTGAGTGTAGATTGATGAGGGAAAAATGAATTCAAAGGATTTCATACACTGTAAACCTGATTCTAACCCGAACCCTAAAACCAAGTCTAAACCCTCAAACAGCAACCAACCAATGTCCTCACTCCAAAGGTCTAAAAGTCAAACCTGCCCTTACAATGTATCATACAAGTACACACATTAGGGAGCCTCATTTTGATTTTTTTTTTCTGACCGATAGCCGATGCCCGTTAAACAACCATTAACCGTTAACCGACAAGATCAAAATGTATCATTTAGAATGGACGAGTGTCTGTGACCCATTAAAAAAAATACCAATACAAATGTTTTTTCTTCATAAGAAGGGGTTCATTTTTACATGTGCAGAACCGGCTTAATAGTGGAGGAAAATATTTCATAACTTAAAATAGCAAATCACAGCCAGACTTTCTGATGTATAAACAGTTTAAGAGCGCTGAGAGCACTGTAAGGAACCCCCCCTCCCCACCTCAACCCCACCCCCAAAAAAACAAAAAAAACTGGTAGTTGCATCTTCAAGAGCTCAAAATAAAAGAAACAGGGCAGGTCTACCTCCGTCCTCAGCATGGCGGACAGCTTGTCTACTGGTGTTTGTTCAGAAATAGCAACATGTGGACATGCTGTGGGGTTCATCTGCTGTCAGTCTGTTAACTGTGAGACCGATGATACCGATGTCCCAGGAATGCACAGATAGCACCTGCTAGAGCGGCCAGCCTCAGGAAGCACATCTGATTCGCTTCCCCACCAGTCGAGAGGATTAGTGTCCGATGAGCGGGATCATCTCTCATACACACACAACACACACACACACACATTTTTAAAAAATTGTTTAACTGACAGTAGTAATCAGTCCAAATTCTTATTGTCGGTTAACGGTTAAACGGTTTATTATTAACATCTGTAACACACACACACATACACACAGATATACGTGTATGTGTGTGTGTATATATATATCTCCCTTCTCCGGACACCCTGAGTGCTTCAAATGTGCAGGAACGAGCCCTGGTGATGATGTCAGAGCTCATCATGGCGCAGCAGCTCCTGGCTGGGCTGAATGAAGACGCCCTCCATGGCGCGCCACCAGTTGTGCTGGTTGGAGGAGCTCATGCCGTGCACCTCCCGCTGGCCGCGGATGGGGTGGCCGTACTGTTCGCCCGTCACGCTCAGGAAGACGTCCGTGCCCACGTGTTTGAAGCGCACGGTTTCGTCGCGCTCCCAGTGGACGCCGTCACACTGCACTGTCCACACGTCCAGGTCATCACCCTCGCCGTTCTCTCCGAAGGCGCTGACCTCCTGCAGAGGACACAGAGAAGAAAAGAAAAACATCTGTAGAGTGGTGATCTGCTACCATGAATGTATCCTACCAGCAAGCCTGATCACATCCCTCAAACAGTGAGTGTGTGTGCCACTGCCTGACCTGGTTGTTAGACAGGGGTGAGCTGAAGTGGTGTGTGTGGAGGTTTCGGCCAGTCTTCATGTGTGTGATGCGGATGGCCTGACCACATTTGATGGATGCTCCGCGCTGACATGGACGGTTGGGCTTTCCACGGATCTGCCAGTAACTGTTGGCATCGTCTGCGTTTTCCACTCCAGTTACAGACTGCTGTCCACTGCCTACACACACACACACACACACACACACAGTATGAGTGACAGATTTCAGTGAGCTCCATTTAACGGAAAGAAGTTGTATTGTCAGTTGTGAAGGTTAGACTGAAGCATAGACTGCTGAACCGTTAAAACGCATTCTGCTGCATGATGCTTCCAGTTTATGGCTGGATCTATCTGATGGGCGGCCCGGTCTTTAATGGCTACAGGAACTGTGTACGACTCTTATCTAAGAAGAATCTGATGTGTGTTCTTTTGGTTTGTGTTTATTGACAAGGTGAAGTGGTGACAGTTGATTCAGTAGTTTGCAGATTCTATTTCGTTCACTCAGTCCCTGCAGACATCGGGCTGAGTTAGAGCATTAAGTGGATGCCCTTGCCCTGCTTGTTTGAGGCATCCGGCACTGGACAGTCCACAGCTGTGTCTGGATGATGACAGCCTCGCAGGTCATAGGGGTCTTTCATTATTCGTTCTCACTTTTGGGGGCCACTGATGATCTGGGGCCCTGGTAAGGTTGACACTTTGCCCATGTGGTAATTAAGCTTTGTTGTATTTCCTCCATTAGTGCCAAGTATGGAAATTTATATGGAAAATAGATATGGTAATAGCGTGCAGCAGGGATGGTCCTCCACAAAAAGCCAAAGGGAATTCTCCACTGAGAGTCCTCTGCAGCTCTGACTGATACATCTGATAAATAGTTATAGTTGTTAAATTTGCAACAAGGAGTAAAAGTGAAGGTTTTTTACTTTTATTACTTTTATTTTAACGCTCTGCCTGCTTGAGAATTCAACTTGTCAGCAAAGCTGCACAATTGATTGAAATATAGTTGAATCAATACAGCTAAGTGCAATATCCAAATCACAGGAGCTGCAGTTGTTTTTTTTTCTTTTTGATGAAAGGTAAAATGTGTCACATTGTTGTGCACTGTTAGCACCATAAGCATCGTGATGCTACAGAGATGCCCCCGGCCTACAGATCATATCCTCCAGATGTAAAGGAACATGTTTGTTCGGTACAAGACCGAGAAAAATCACATCATCATCATCATTTTTAAATTTCTTTCAGTGAAAATGAAAACGCAACCATTCCAACTGAAATCACATCATCTGCCAAAAATAATTTTCCGATTTCCATCTTTGACGAAACAGAGCAGCGACCAAAAGACAACGGAGCCGTCTTCAGTGGTTGCTGTCTGATCGACTGGTGCTGAAAAGCAACATCGATTCACAAATCGTATTTGAGAACTAGATCAAAACCTCTATGTGCCGTTGTGCAACCTGATTATTTAACATCAAAAATGTTATCTCCACCTGTTTGTGTGAGGCATCCTTCATCTGCGGCCATCGGACTCAGCCCAGTGACACGTTAGCTCTCTTCCTGTGTAGCTCAGAGGCACCGAGACTGATGCGAATTCAGACTTTTCCTGTTTCACTTTCAGGCCCTCCGAGTACATGTACACTCCTCTTATCACCATCTTTAGTAGGCGTTAGCGGATGTGGAACAGATTCATGTGTGTGAATAATTGTCCACAGTTCTGCTCTCCAGCCCACTGACCATCCCTGCTGAGTAGGCAAAGAGGGTGCTGAAGGCCTACGACCCCCTGTGGTGTGTTATACTCCGGGGCTTCTCTAACCTCAGTTTACTGCCTGGTTCCTGTACTGAAGCTTCAGACTTAGACTCCAAATGTTTTGATGTTTTGATAAAAACCTGACTGACCTTAGAAATAGAGAACTGCAAAAATACACAGTAAAACATGCTCAGGCAAAACACTGTACTGCAGTTACCACAGTGATGTGTTTGAAAAATAACTATTTTCAGTTTCCGCATTGCATTGGTATTTATTTCAA